TAGGTGCTGGTGAGTTGGTTCCAATTCATTGCGACCCTATGTGCAATAGAACAAAACTCTGCCTGGTCCTGTGCCATCTTCCCAATTATTGCTGTGCTTGAGCCCATTGTTGCAGCCACTGTGTCAGTCCATCTCATTGAGGGTCTTCCTCTTTACTCTCACCATCTACTTTACCAAGCATGATATCCTACTCTAGGGACTGGTCCCTCCTGACACCATGACCAAAGTACTAGAGATGAAGTCTTGCCATCCTCACTTCTAAGAAGTATTCTAGCTATACTGCTTCCAAGACAGATTTGTGTGTTCACCTGGCATTCCATGGTATATTCAGTATTCTTCTCCATCACCATAATTCAAAAGCAGCAATTCTTCGGGCTTCCTTATTCATTGTCCACCTTTCACATGCACATGAGATGATTGAAAATACTTTGGCTTGGGTCAGGTGCACTTATTCTTCAAAGTGACATCTTTGCTCTTTAACGCTTTAAGAGGTCTTTTGCAGCACATTTGCCCAGTAAAGTATGTCATTTGATTTCTTGACTGCTGCTTCCATGGGTGTTGATTGTGAATCCAAATAAAATGAAATCCTTGACTACTTCAGTCTTTTGTTCATTTATCATTATGTTACTTATTGGTCCATGTGTGAGGATTTTAATCTACTTTGTGTCTCTATGCATTTGTCTATTCTAGATATTTCATATAAACAGAACCATACAATATTGTTATTACTAGGTGCTGTCAAGTTGATTCCGATTCATAGCGACCCTGTATGCAGCACAAAGAAACATTGCCTGGTGATGATGCCTACACCAAACAATCATTGCGATGTTTCAGCCACTATGTCAATCCATCTCTTTCAGGGTCTTCCTCTTTTATACTAATCTTCCACTTTACCAAATTGATGTCCTTCTCTATCACATGCCTTATTTCACTTAACATAATGTTTTCAGGTTTATCACATAGAGGTAGTTCCCAATTTAGGACATTCATGTTACAATAAAGTACACTACGACTGGCTGTTTTTTTGTTTTTTTGTACATCTTATTGTTAGTAATATGTGCTACATACAGTGTTGCAGTACATAATTTACTGATGTTATCATTCTCAGATGTTGATTTTTAGGTATTCAATGTTATGATTTATAAAGATACTGATAATAAAAGGCAATAATAAAACTAAAAAAAAAGAAGTTATTCAAGTTACATCAGAATCTACTTACAATGGTGTCATAGGAACAGAGAATCCCATTGTAAATCGGAGACTACTTGAGTTAGAACTTCATTCCTTTTTAAGCCAGAATAGTTTTCCATTGTACATACATACTATATTGTGTTTATCCTTTCATCTGTTGATGGACACTTAGGATGTTTCCACTTTTGGCTACTGAGAATAATATTGCAGTGAACATTGGTGTAAAAGAATCTGTGAGAGCCCTTGCTTTCAAGTCCTTTGAGTATATTTTCAGGAGTTGAATTGCTGGATCATACGGTAATTCTATGTTTCACTCTTTGAGGAACCACCAAACTGGTTTCCACAAAGGCTGCACCATTTTACAGTCCCACCAGTAATAGACAGATTCCAATTTCTGTGAATCCTCTCCAACATTTGTTATTTTGTGTGTTTTTTTCATTGTTATTTTAAAACAATAGCTATCCTAGTGGCTGTGAGGTGGTATCTCATTGTGTTGTGTTTTAATGGGCTAGTGGGAGCAAATGAATCAGACATGACTAGCTGGCTGCCATATTAGCTATATGTTTCCTGACAGATTTCCTCTCAATGTGATAAGAGTGGTAGCTAGATAGATAGCTGCCTCACCTACTCCAACTCATGAGGACCTTATGTATAACAGAATGAAACAATGACCTGTTGTGGGTCATCCTTAAAATCATCAGCATGTTTCAGTCCATTGATGCAGCTATTGTGCAAATTTATTTTATCAAGGGCCTCCCTCACCCTTGCTGGCCCTCTGCTTCACCAGACATGATGTCTTCCTCCAGCCATTGATTCCTCTTGATGACATGTCCACAGCAAGTAGCCAGTGTTCTGTTGTGATCTATAAGGTTTTCATTGGCTAATTTTTGGAAATAGAGTACCAGGCCTTTCTTCCTAGTCTGTTATAGTCAGAATAGCCACTGAAACCTGTCTACCATTGGTAAACCTTCTGGTATTTGAAATAGCTTCTACCAACACAGCAACACAAAAGCCACTACAGTACATCAAACTGACAGATGGGAGGTGGGTTTAAAGAAAAAAAAAAAAGGTTACCATTGAATCGACTCTAGCCATGATGACCCCTGTGCTCAACAGGGTTTCAGTGGCTGATTTTTCAGAAGCAGATTGCCAGGCCTTTCTTCCAAGGCACTTGGAAGTCCACTGGGTGGGTTCAAACCTTTAACTCTTGGTTAGCAGCTGAATTCATTAACTGTTTGCACTACCCAGGGTCATGTTGTTGTTGTTGTTATGTGCCGTCGAGTCAAACCCAACTCATAGTGATCCTTCCTTGGGTTTCCGAGGCAGTATCACTACGGAAGTAGGATTGCCCAACCTTCCTTCCGGGGAGTGGCTGGTGGGTTTGAACCGCCAGCCGTCTGGTTAGCAGGCAAGTGTCTTAGCCACTATGCTACCAGAGCTCCCAGGGTCATAGTAGTCAGTAATGCAGCTGAAAAGTAAGGAATCTACTTATTTCACTTGTATCTAGTTACTAGACCAAACCAAACCAAATGCACTGCTGTGGAGTCAAACCCGACTCATAGGGACTCTTCTTTGGGTTTCCGAGGTGATATCACTACATAAGTAGGTTACCCAACCTTCCTTCTGAGGAGTGGCTGCTGGCTTTGAACCACCAGCCTTCTGGTTAGCAGTCAGATGCCTCAGGCACTATGCCACCAGAGCTCCTGGTTAGTAGGTCTGTAATTTTTGCAAGGTAGAGGATTTGGTTATTGAAAAGTCATTGAGACATGGGAAAGAGCAGTTTTAGCAGACTATTATATGTGGAGACCAAATTGAAAAGTTTATGAAGTGAATTGATGAGGAAACTGGAAGTTCTTATTCAGCACTTACAATTTTGTTCATCCATTATGTGCCAAACAGAGTGGGACCTTACAGACTATGCTTTGAAGCTCTGCCTAGCATTTTTGTTTGAGTATTTAATACCTGTGAGGAGCTCTGGTGGCGTAGTGCCTAAGGCTTTTGACTCCAAAGCAGAAGGCTGGCTGTTCAAATCCACCAGCCACTCCTCGGAAGGAAAGTTGGGCAATCCACTTCCATAGTGATACTGCTTTGGAAACCCAAGGAGGGGCCACTATGAGTTGGATCTGACTTGACAGCAGTGCGTTTGGTGTTTTGTTTTGTTTTGTTTTAGTATTTAACACTTGTGAGTCATGTCTTCTTTTTCCTCAAAGATGGCAAGTACTATATAATAGGGGCTTGTCGTTTGTTTATACTAACCACAGTGCTGTGCCTACAGGTATTAAATATCTGTTAAGGGAGAAGACACCCAAGGGTTTGACAGTGAAAGAAAAGATCATGCAATATTTTACCACAAGAAAATGGCAAAATGGATTATTGCTGTGTTTTGTTTTAAAATAGGGAACAACATTTGACTTGAAAAAGACAGAGGAAGAAAATTCAATCCTTGTTATTCTGTTTTATAGATCAAGGAAAGGAAATAATGCCCATTCATAAAGATTGAATGGCTCACAAGCACAGGGTATAGAGAGGTTACCTTTGAAACAAAGAGAAAGTTGTCTTTTTTTTTTTGAAACTAAAGGAAGATGACCTAAGATATGGAAAAATGTATTAATATGCTTGGCTGCTAGCTGAAAGGTTGGAGTTGGAAACAAACTAGGCGTCCATCAGCTGAAGAACAGATAACCAAACTGTGGTTCATACAAAAACAAAAACAAAAAAGGTTTATAGCCTTGCAAACCCAATGAGGGTCACTAAGAGTCAGAATCAACTTGATGGCACTGGGTTTGGTTTTGGTTTAGTCTATTACGTACTTTATAATCTTGTAATAGTCAGGTGACTATTAGGTTTTCAAATAGAAATCTCTAATGTCTTTTGTATTGCAATGCTATTTGATGTTTGACAAAACTTGCAAAGAAGCATACTGAGAAGGCTTATGGTTCTCCATAGGATTAGCTTTGATTTTGTATGTAAGCTCCAAATAAATATATAGACAGCAAGTATAATTTCTTCTCAGTTTGCTTAATTATTTTAATATTCCATAGCCATGTTAAATGTGAAATGATCCGGAATAGTCGAGGTGGTCGGTGACTGGTGAAGAATTCCGAACACTTGAATCATGCTCTCATTTGGTTCTCAAACTATGATTAGGTAGAACTCAAAACTGTCTTGGCACTTTTCTCCCTGAAGGATCAAATGAGTATGTGAGCAAGGACTTGGAAACCATAAAGTACTAGATGTATATGGGATGTTATGTACTTGGTTTTAACTAAGAGACCTAGCCTGAGGAAACCGTAACAGAGGTAACCATGTGTACATTTAAATTTAGGCTGCAGATTATTGATAGTAAATTTGCCTCAATGAAAACAGTAGAGTGGAATGTTTTCTTGTTTAGTGAGCTTCAGATGACATTCCTTGTTTAATACTCAAAGATGGCTCAGTGTGAAGGGTTATGCTGCTGAATTAGATGTCTTCTGTTCCCCATTCAAGTTGTAATTACAGCTTTTTGTCATTTGTATTCTTTCTTTCCTAGCTGCCAGATGTATACAATAGGAAGGTAAGGTACAAAAAGAGGTTGGTGAAGTACTAAGAGAGAGGGGGAAAAAATAGCATAGTGTTTCTATCATGGAATAAAAAACATTGTTAGTATGCCATACTTTGCATAGAAGTTTATTTGCATCATTGTATATTTGATGAATCTACATTTTTTTTCTTTTAATCTGAATTTCATAATTGGGTCTAAGTTATTTTGTCATATTTATTATCAAATTGACTTAATATAATTTTGCTAATTTATTATTCTGTTTTTATAGTTCTCAGCATATGATTTCATCCCGTCTCCAAAATTGAAGCCCTCTCAAGGAATGCCGGTCAATGACGATTTATGTTTTAGCAGAAAAAGAGTGTCAAGAAACTTATTTCAGAAAAGCCGAGATTTTAACTCAGATTCTCTTCCGGTATGTTCTGGTAAGTAACAGTTGCACATAATAAGCATGTTGACCTAATTAAAGACTTAACTTTAAAGTTCATTCAGGGTCTCATGGATTTATAATTTAATTGACAATTGGGATTCAATAAACATTTGTTAAACATCTGACAAGGATGGACACTTTGATATTAGCTCATAAGACCATCACTGGATTTCTTTAAGTAGTATTGCAGAGCATTAATCATTTAATCAACAGCCTATGTTGATTGAGCATCTCCTGTGTGTCAACAAAAAAGAAAACTTCCTGCCTAGTACATCTGGCATTCTAGTTGGAGGTGAGCAGACATTAAATAAACACAAGACATACAGTAACAAGTTGTGTGGAGATAAATACTATGGGAAAAAGAAAGCATAGAAGAGGAATGTTGGGGAGAGTTGCTATTTTAAATGATGTGGTGAAAGAAGGCCATATTAAGATTATCTTTGCTATCTGGTAATGCTATAGAAGAAATACCATAAGTGGATAGCTTTAACAAACAAGTTTATTCTCTCATGGTTCAGGAGGCTAGAGGTCCAAATTCACAGTGCCAGCTCTAGAGGAAAGTTTTCTTTGTCTTTTGGCTCTGAGGGAAGGTCGTTGTCTCTTTTCAACATCTATAGGCCCAGTATCCTTTGCAGATACCCCTGTGTCTTGACATCAGTCTTCTCCTGATTTAGGATGTCTCAGTGCAGAGACCCTGGGTCCAAAGGGCATGTTTGACTCTCTTTACTGAGCCTAGAAGTTTATTTGTATCATTGTATATTTGATGACTCTACTTTTTTTTTTTTCCTTTTAATCTGAACTTCATAATTGGGTCTAAGTTATTTTGTCATATTTATTATCAGATTGACTTAATATAATTTGAGCTCTTCTTTACTGGTGATAGACAGGTCCCTCCTTCTCTGCTCCATGCTCTTTCTTTAAAGAAGATAAAGGCCACACTACAGAGAAACTCTCCTTACATAGGATCAAGGCAGTGACCTAAGTAAGGGTCCCACCCTATCCTCTTACAACTGATTGACTGATCACATCAGATCACATCATGAGGGATGGGTACTTCATTATGTAACTGCCATGATTCAGCCAGGTTGACACATATTTGGGGGGACACAGTTTAATCCATGGCAGGTATATTTGAAGAAATAGGGAATCAAGCAATAGAGATATCAGGAAAGAAGAGCAGATAATTCCACAAAGAGGAAACAGTGCAAATTCACTTTGATGGAAATGTCTAAGGCATGTTTCAGAAATATCAAAAAGGCTAGTATGTCTGGAATGAAATGACTAATGGGAAGGGTAGTAGAAAATGAGATCAAAGAAATAATAGGTGTCTTTGTTTATTAAGGTAGTGTGCTATTGAATGAACTTTGGCATTTACTCTGAGTGAAGAAAAAAATATCATTTGCCTTATGTTTTTCGGGTTCATGTTGGGTATTATGTTTAGAATAGATTAAAGGAGAGGAAGGATGAAAACAAGGAGATTGATTAGCTGTAGTAATCCTGTCTAGACTTAATAGATGCTTGTACCAGCATAGTATTGAATTTAGTGAAAAGTAATTGAATTCTTGTTTTATGTAAAAGGTGAAGTTGATTGATATAATTCAGATGGATTAGATAACGGAGTATGAGAGAGAAGAGTCAAGAATGATGCTAAAGGCTCCTGCAGCCATTGGAGGGGCATGCGAGACTTGCCTCCCTGCCAGGAACTCTGCACTATGAGAGGTTACTTTTGGACAATGCCTGGATGTGAGGACTGAGCCAGCCCACATGTCACTGTGGTGCCCCATTAGAAGGGTGGTGTGGTTTTAGTTTCCCCTGAGGGACACTTGTTTCACTCCTTACTCTTTCCTTTCTTTGCTCTCTAGTTTTGTCCCTGGTCTCAGCCAGGTTTCTATTTTAGTGATTCATTTGCCATTAGAGGAGTTGTTATTTCCTGCTTTTCAGTTTAGTCACAGCACGAGAGCATCCTGCCCTTCTTTAAAGACTGGATGAATTGGAAAACCAGGTAGCAGAGATTTTAGTACCTCACTTTCATTCCCATTAAGTATCTAGACAGTACAGGGCAGGATAGTGACTCCTGACTAAGAACTGGAAAAATTCCTTTTCTAATCTATGAAATGGTCTAGCCCTGAATCCCTAATCTACAAATACAGGAAGTGTTTCCTAAAAAGGAAACTCTGGGATTAGCGGAAAAAAGAGAATTCCATTTGAATTGTCATATTATATTGGTTTCATATTATATTGGTTTTATATATGTGAGCTCTGGTAGCATAGTGCCTAAGGCACTTGACTGCTAACGAGGAGGCTGGCGGTTCAAACCCACCAGCCACTCCCTGGAAGGAAGGTTGTGCAATCTACTTCTGTAGTGATACTGCCTCGGAAACCCAAGGAGGGGTCGCTATGAGTCGGGTCCGACTCAGCGGTACATAACAACAACAACATTGGTTTCAGTGTCACTGTCAGATTTCATAATTCGCAAGGTAAACACAGGCTTGCTTGTGCTTATTTACTAATCTGTAGTGAACAGTTTCACATTTTTTAACAACATCAAAGACTCTGCTTCTAGGCATGGCTGGCATCTCTCTCCCTACCATACAGCAGCTTTCTACAGAATCACAGCCTCTTTTCCCATTTACAATTCCTAAGAGAGATGGAGTACCAAGTAAGCAAGGTAAGCACAGGCTTACTTGTGCTTACTTACTAATCCGTAGTGAACGAAGTTCATGTTTTTCACCAAAGATCATTAATATTCTGATGACATTACCAATTCCTTGGCACTCTGGTATCAGATTCAGTCCGCTCATGAGGGATTTTGATCATTTCGTGCCATTTCTTCATCCTGCGCAGTTCCATTGTTCTTAATACATTTCTGTCCTTTGCCTGCCTTCTTTTAAGGCACCGTTCCATTTTTATGTATTCATATGCTTAAAACAGCCTATGCTATTTCTTATCCTAAATTGTCTTTAATCCTGTTTCATGCAAGAAGCTGACCCAGATAAGAGCAAATTGTGAGATTTTGCTTAAAAAAAGCTTTCTTATTCTGGTTCACAACAAGTATACCAAATGAGGGGGAAACTCTTAAAAAAAAAGAAAGAAAGACACTAAGGACTTTTGGCTGGCATACCTGGAAAGATGCTTAACTGCCTAAGTGTTACAGAAAGCAAATATTATGATAGCTCAGAGGGCATGGTCATTGTCATGGACTACCCATATCAGTTAGAAAAGGCATAAGGAGGAGTTAGAACTGCATCTTTTTGGGGTATATCCTACTTCCGTAGTGATACTGCCTCGGAAACCCAAGGAGGGGTCGCTATGAGTCAGGGCTGACTCAACGGCACATAACAACAACAACAACATGATAGAGGTGGTTAGAAGGGAGGAATAGGGAGAGTAATGCTTATGTTGAAAATAGATGTGAGATTTTCTGGGAACTGTGTAAAGGCAAGGAACTCTGGTGGCATAATAGTTAAAGCATTCAGCTGCTAACCAAAAGGTCGGTGGTTTGAACCCACCACTGCTCTGCAGGAGAAAGATGAAGCAGTCTGCTTCCATAAAGATTTATAATCTTGGAAACACTATGGGGCATACTGCCTGGTTTAAAACCAGGAAGGGAACGCATCAGGGTTGTATCCTTTCACCATATTATTCAACATGTATGCTGAACTGATAATCCGAGAAGCTGGACTGTATGAAAAAGAACACAGCATCAGGATTGGAGGAAGACTGCACTATGCAGATGACAGCCTCACTTGCTGAAAGTGAAGATGACTTGAAGCATTTACTGATGAAGATTTTTAAAGACTACATTCTGCATATGGATTGTACCTCAACATAAAGGGAATGAAAATCCTCACAACTAGTCCAGTTGTCAAAGATTTCATATTACTTGACTCCACAATCAAAACCAATGGAAGCAACCATCAAGAAATCAGATGACATATTGCACTGGGCAAATCTACTGCAAAAGATCTCTTTAGAGTGCTAAAGAGCAAAGATGTCTCTTTGAAGATTAAGGTGTGCCTAACCCAAGCCATGGTGTTTTGAGTCGCCTTATAAGCATGTGAAAACTGAACAATGAGTAAAAAATAATTATATGAGTAAAAAACCAAAATCAAACTCACTGCCGGTCGAGTCGTATCCAACTCATAGCGACCCCTCCTTGGGTTTCCAAGGCAGTATCACTCTGGAAGTAGATTGCCCAGCCTTCCTAAGGAGTGGCTAGTGGGTTTGATCTGCCAGCCTTAGGCACTGTGCCATCAGAGCTCCAAACAATGAATAAGGAAAACTGAAAAAGAGTCCGTGTTTTTTAGTTGTGTGAGTGAATAATACTGAAAGTACCATGGACTGCAAAAAGAGCTAATAAATCTGTCCTGGAGGAAGTGCAGCCGGAATGCTCCTTGAAAGTGAGAATGACCAGACTTCGTCTCACCTACTTTGGCCATGTTGTCAGAAGGGACCATTTCCTGGAGAAGGGTATCATGCTTGGTAAAGTGAAGTGTCAGCAAAAAAGGGGAAGGCCTTCAATGAGATGGATTGACACAGTGGCTGCAACAATGAGCTCAGGTGTAGCAAGAATTGTGAGGCTGACGCAGGATTAAGCAGTGTTTGGTTCTGTTGTATGTTGGATCACTTTCAGTCAGAGCCAACTCGACGGCATCTAACAACAACAACATTCCCCTAGGAGAATGTATAGACCTTTTTGCCATAAAATTCATTTGAATTTTCTTGCAAAATATGAAATATAATAGTGATTTTTATAGTTTAATTTGTTTATTTCATAGCAGAAAAAAATAGAATATATGCAGTTATGGTCGTACTATTGTTTTGGATTTTATAAGGATCATGATTTCATTCCATTGAGAAGCTCATTATCCAGTCATACACATTTTAAACAACTGGATTATAACGTTAATGACAGATTGGATGATGTGAATTTTTAGGTACTATAGCACTTGACTGCTAACCAGGAGGCTGGCAGTTCAAACCCACCAGCCATTCCTTGGAAGGAAGGTTGGGCAATCTACTTCCGTAGTGATACCGCCTCAGAAACCCAAGGAGGGGTCACTATGAGTCGGGGCCAACTTGACGGCACATAACAACAACAACATAGAAACTGAACAACAACATAGATACTGAAGTAGTTTAGGAAGGCACCAGGAGGTTGGACTTGAGCAGGACTTTTTAAAGAAGGAGAGGGAGGAGAGGGGGTTGAGATTGACAGTGAGACAAAAGGAACTGTTCAGGAGACAGAAAGTATAAACAAAAGCAGAGATGTGAGAATTAACTTTGAAAATGTCTAGTAGGATAAGGCAAGCATAAAAATATCATAAAATTTCCAAACTACAAAAAATCAGCCCTTTTTATAAATGAATGAACTGAACTCCAGAGGGGTCATTGTCATCACCTTCTTTTCTTCAAACCCATTCACATACCAAAGAATAATCTTAACTAGTCATTGGAGAGTGAGTCTCAGAAATCTGTTAAGTTTGGCAGCCATGTAAGTGATGCGTGGTATATTAGGAAAGAAAGCAGTAGAATTTTTTTGGATAGAGTGAAAACTGTAAATACTGGGAAGAAGGAAGGTCTGGAGAAACATTTCAAGTTGAGAAAAGGGGGAGTATAGGAAAATCTGCCTTTTTAAATTTTCTTCAGTATACCTTTTCTTTTTCTATCCTTTGTCAATCTATCTTCTGTCCTTCAACCTCTGCCACTAATCAGATCTGCCAATACCAAAAGCCTCATATGAGGAGTGGCTGGTGGGTTTGAACCCGTAGCCTTCTAATTAGCAGTTCAAACCCACCAGCCACTCCTTGGAAGGAAGATTGGGCAATCTACTTCCGTAGTGATACTGCTTCGGAAACCCGAGGAGGGGTCGCTGTGAGTCGGATCTGACTCCATGGCAGTCAGTTTGGTATGGTTTTGTTATCTCTTTCTTGCCTGTCTGCCTTACGGTACTTTTTTTTTATACATAGATCACACCAGCATCGGTAAAATAAGGTGTATTAATGCAATAAAGTTAAGCATTACTTTCACATCTTTTCCCCTCCTTTCTTCAAAAGGTACTACTGGGACTCATCAGATAAATCTTTCTGGGAGATGTGGAAAACTTGGATTTTCACAAATTTGTAGTAAAACTGGCAGTTTGGATTCTGACTTACAATTTCTGGGGACAACTAATAATCATCAAGATAAAGGTATAAATTTCAAAAATTTTTTTGATACTTGTAAAATCTTGATTTGTTAATATTGTGGGGTTCCCAAATCTAACACATACAACATTTTGTGTAATTATGTTTATCACAAAAAAGAAGAAAATGCTGGTTATATTTTTAATAACAATTTCAATAATTTTTAAATAGTAACTATAAAATAATAGACTTAGTAATCTTGATATAAATATGAGTGATTAAAATTAGAGAGTGTAGAAATTCTCAATACAAAGTCATTAAATATAACATTCATTAAGGAGTACTGTGTTAGCAGAGGACATATATTTTCCATAACAGAATATTTAGAATTTATTATGTCCCTTGTCAGGAAGCAGCACTTCCTGAGAAGCAGTCATTTTAGAGAAGACATAAGAGATAGAACAAAAGGAAGTGTTTGATGCTAGTTGCCAGTCACATGAATTTTGGACTTTAAGGAGTTTCTTAAATTTTTATGTTAACAGATAGCATTATCAAGTATTACTTAGAGTAGGATCAAATTAATTGTTTCTAAAAGTAGTTTAATTTTTGTTTTATGTTCTTTCCTAAAAATTCTTTTTAAAGTTATAGAGTTCTTTCTTTATTGGTTGATGAAAAAATTAATATCATTTGAATTAGTAGCAGTTTCAGTTAATATAGCATTTACGTCTTAACTACCTTTTCCTTTACCTACCCCTAAAGGTCCATATGACTTAAAAGTTTTACGTCATGGTATTATTCCTAATAAATTAGTCCATTTTTCTAAATTATATAGGTATTCCCTAAATTGTGACTCTTAGATGCCTTTGGGACCCAAAAATTGTCAGTATTCTTAGATAAGACATGGTATGTTGTAGTAGTTCAGAGCACAGGCTCAGGAACCTAGGCTCACAGTCTAGCTTTTTCATTTCCTAGTGTATGAATTCTAGCAAGTTATTTATCGTTGTCCTTCATTTTTGTCATCTGTAAAATAGGAATATTACCTACCCCTTTATTGGTCAGAATTAAATAAATTAATACGTAAGAAGTGCTTTAGACACCACTTGGCACATAGTTGGTGCTCAATAAACATTAGTGCTCATCATTATCATTATTATCTACATAGAAAATCCAGTAGCATCAAAAAAGGAAAAAAATAACAGCATCTACTGAAAAACTATTAAAACTAAAAAAAGAATTCAGAAAGATTGTCAGATATGGCATCAGAATATCAAGGTTGATGGCGTTGTTAGGTGCCATTAAGTTGGTTCCAACTCATAGGGACCCTGTGTACAACAGAATGAAGCATTGCTCAGTTCTGCTTCATCCTCACAAATCATATGTTTGAGCTCATTGTTGCAGCCACTCTGTCAGTCCATCTCTATGAGAGTCTTCCTCTTTTTCACTTACCTTCTACTTTAGCAAGCATGATGTCTTTCTCCAGGGACTGATCCCTCTTGATAACTTGTCCAGAGTACATGAGACAAAGTCTTGCCATCCTTACTTTTAAGGAACACTGTGTCTGTGTTTCTTCCAGGACAGTTTTTGTTCATTCTTCTTATGGTCCATGGTATGTTCCATATTCTTCCCTGTAACTATAATTCATTTCTTTTTTTGGTCTTCCTTATTCATTGTCCAGGAGCTCTGGTGGCGTAGTGCCTAAGGCATTTGACTGCTAACCAGAAGGCTGGCAGGTCAACCCCACCAACCCCTCTTTGGAAGGAAGGTTGGGCAATCTACTTCCGTGGTGATAATGCCTCGGAAACCCAAGGAGGGGTCACTGTGAGTTGGATCCAACTCGATGGCAGTGCGTTTGGTTTTTGGTATTCATTGTCCAGCTTTGCATGCATATGAGGTGATTGACAATATCATGGCTTGAGTCAGATGCACTAGTCCTCAAAGTGACATCTTTGCTTTTTAACATTTTAAAAAGAGGTTTTTTGCAGCAGATATGTAATATGTCCTTTGATTTCTTGATTGCTGCTTCCATGAGTGTTGGTTATGGATCCAAATATAATAAAATCCTTGAAAACTTCATTTTTTTCTCCATTTATCATGATACTGCTTATTGATAAAATTGTGAGAAGTTTTGTTTTCTTTACGTTGAGGTGTGATCCATACTAACGGTCAGTAAAGTTCCTACCTATATGCTAGGAACTTTCAAAAAATGTGATTTTTAAGAAGAAATTATAGTATCAACAAAATTTAGAAGGTTTCTGAAAATTTAACAAAAATTTTCACACCCTTCACTATAAAAACTATAATAGTTTTTGGAAAGACATGAAGACTCCTAAACGAAATAGCTTAATTTTAAACAGGGAGAGTCAATATTAGGAAAAAGTACTTCTTCACAGATTAATATATAAATTCAGTGCCATTGTAATAAAAATCACAACAGAATATTTTATGGAATCTGACAGATCCTAAATTTTATATGAAAGAATGGAGGGCCAAAATAATTTTAAAAATCAAAATGGAGGAAGACATGTCTTAATCAGATAAACCAGTAAACCAAGCCCACTGCATAACAAATTTTAGCTTTATAAATATAAATTAAATATACCAACTCAAAGCGACCTTGTGGGACAGAGTAGAGTTGCCCCATATGGTTTCCAAGGCCATAAATCTTCACAGAAGCAGTCTGCCACATCTTTCTCCCTTGGAGTGGCTGGTAAGTTCAAACTGCCAACCTTTTGGATAGCAGCTCAGCACGTAACCTTTGAGCCACTAGGGTGCCTTGTCCTATTAGATAGAGTAATGATAAATAAACATTGTGATCCTGGTGCCAGGATAGACGAATAGACCAGTAGAATCCACAAGGTGCATCAAAGAATAGACTCAAATATATTTGGGAGCTTTATAGAACACAGGGAAAGGATAACCACTTTCTGAGAAAACTGAACTATCAATATAGAAAAAAACAAATCTCTGCCTCACACCATACAAAAATGTAAGTGCCAGAAGGGCTAGAAACCTGTGAGAAGCAAAAAAGCTTTAAACTCTTAGTAAATGTGTATACATAAATAACATATTTTCTTTTGTTTTTTTACAGTGTATGCTAGCCTAAATTTTGGCAGTAAGGCACAGCAAACATTTGGTAATCAAACAGAGCGTACTTTATCATCCTCTGGTTCAAATCCAAGTTCAGGAGCCTTCATCCTTCCATCATACCCTCTCTCATCACCTCGAACTAGTCCAAAGCACACATCTCCTCTTACTGGATCTCCAAAGAAGTATCAAGATAATTCTGTTAATTTTTCAAATTCCTGGCCTCTTAAAAGCTTTGAAGGACTATCAAAGCCAAGTCCACAGAAGAAAATTATCAGCCAAAAATCATCTGACCCTATAGGTAGAAATGATGGTTAAAAAATCAAAACTTTGTTAAAATTTGTTTGAATGTTTGTATTACTACTTTGGAGCTAGTACAGAGGGTTGTTAAATCTTTCAAAGTTGATAAGTTATATATTATTTCTCTTAAGTTAGTAAATATTTAGAAACTTATTTAACAGTGTATTGAATAGATCAAATGTATAATATAAAATGTCATTGAAATTGTAATTTCATATATTGCCACTGCAGTCTTTTTTCTTTTTTTTTTTATGCTAGGCAAATACTACTTTATTTTGAATTTATAATGAACATGCATAGTATATATTGCCTTGAGATCATATTAACAAATTTTAGCTTTATAAATATAAACTATTATTCATGTGTTTAACATAATTAATGTTGAGTATTCACTTATTTGACAAACATTTATTGAATTTTATTACATGCTTAAATTATTTTGAAGGGTTTACTCATATTTGTTATTACCTAAAATATTTTTTCTTAACAATAACCCACTCTAAAACTATGAAGTCAGTATATAAGCTCCTTCAGAACAGATCTGTTGCCAAATAAAATCTCTGTTACAGGCCACCACCCCGTGTCACTGTTTTCTGATCCCCAGCTACTGAGATAGATCTATCTTTAAACTGCTCCGTGACACTGGTGTTCCAGTTTACAATCATAATTTCTTATATCCTCAATTTCATCACTTTGTCTTAGCACTAAACTTGTATTCTCTTCTATTAATTTCTTTCTATGTCTGTCTTTCCTACAAGAACAAACACTGCCTTGAACTTTATTCAACTTGTTCTCCCCAGTGCCTAGTATTACTACTTTGAATATAGTATTCAAATGTTGCTTTCATAATTAACTCAAACCAGAGAAGTAACCCTTACAGCTTATTATGGATTTTATGATAAAGAATATAAGCCATGATGATGTATGTGAGGATAAATATAAAAAATGTAACTTACTGTATAATATTTTATTTAACATGAAAGGATTTGGGGTGACTTACTATTTTTGTTACAATAGAGGGCCAAAAACCAAACCCATTGCTGTTGAGTCAACTCCAACTCATAGCTATCCCATGTGTTACATAGTAGACCTGTGCTCCATAGGATTTTCAAGGCCACGACTTTTTGGAGGTAAATTTTCTGGCCTTTCTTCCGAGATGCCTCTGGGAGGATTTGAACCACTAAACTCTTGGTTAGTAATTGAGTGCTTGACTGTTTGCACTACCTTTTATATTAGACATCACTGATACTTTTATTTTTATTTCATCTTAGATAGTGATCCTTATTCCTAATAAAATAAAATGTGCTTTTCTATTTAAAAACACTGTATTGCTAACACTTGTGATTTTAACTTCTTCTTCTTTGAATTTAAAAAAAGTGAAATATCTGTTTTTCATACAGGAGCAAATTCTCCAGGAAAACCTTCTCCAGTCCTACTTACACCTGCTTTGGCGAGATCACCGTCCTCCCGACGAGGCCTAAATGGGGCAAAGCCTGTTCCCCCCATACCACGAGGAATAAGCCTTTTGCCTGATAAAGCTGATCTAAGCACCATGGGACACAAAAAGGAACCTGATGATATTTGGAAGAGTGAAAAAGATAGTCTTACAATTGATCTTTCAGAATTAAATGTCACAGATAAAGATTTGGATCAAGAAGAGGTTAGAATGAAACATTTGTAAATATTTTTTAAATATTTGTATT